CAGCTGCTCTAAGAAAAAAAAAAAAAAGAAAAAGAAAAAGAAAAAAAAAAAAAGAGCCGGCGTGGTGGTGCACGCTTGAGGAAGTCCGAAGTAGGCGACAAGAGGGCGGCCAAGGATTGCACTGAACCTGGCAGACGGAGGGTGCAGTGAGCAGAGAGTGCACGACCATGGCGACTCCAGCTGCCAGGTGAGAGCGAGAGACTCTTCAAAAAAAAGAAGAAAAAAAGAAACTGAGCTCAGGGAAAGGTAATAGCGTTGCTAAGATTTCAGAGGTAGTAAGTGTATGAGAGTGAAGAGTAAAACGTCGGATCTGTCTGATTCCAAGAATGTTGTCTTTCCATGTACATTCCGCACTGTCAAGCGGTGGCGTCTGGCCATGGCGTAATCTTACCCTCAGATTTCTTTTCTTCACTCATTTGGCGGAATGTATAATGAGAGTACTGACCATGTGGAGTCAATTTTCATGTAGGACCGTTAACTTGTCAAGAGAAACCAAATTTGTTAGCGAAGTAGTTGAATAGTCACTAGCTGTTAAGGCTGCTTTTTGAATAGTCTTTTGCTAGAAAGGGATGGGTTGATGTAACATGGGTTTTTTAAAAGGTTATGTGTTGGGGCATCAAGATCTAACATCTGTATTTCAGGGGACTGAAATGGTACATCTTAATAAGCGTGGGCTTGATTAGGTAGGATGAGCTCTAGATGGGACGTAGAAGGAAAGAAGAAAAATGACTTGGTGAGGTGGAAGTTTGCGTGCAGCATCTGCAAGAGAGGGTCCATCTGATCTTGGAACATTTGATGTCTTCTTGATGCGCGCCAGAGCAGCATCCCACCTCAGCCTCCTGAGTAGCTGGACTACAGGCATGCCCAGCTAATTTTTGTATTTTTTGTAGATATGGGGTTTCACCATGTTGCCCAGGCTGATTTCAAACTCCTGGGCTCAAGTGATCCTCCGGCCTCAGCCTCCCAAAGTGCTGGGATTACAGGCATGAGCCACCATGCCCAGCTTATATTAAAAATATTTTTATTATATTTAAAAGCCCTCCCACAGTTCAGGGGCTTAACAAAAAGCTAGAGCAAAAACTTGGACTCTCTTTTTTGGCCTGACCTTTAAAACACATTATTTCTTACTGCATTAGATTTTCATTAGTTAATATCTCATGAAACCAACTGTCATTAACCTAAAAGTTCATTTTGTGGACTATTCAGCCCCTTTCTTGCCGTCCATCTTCAAGGCAGTTTTTTCTTGGGATGATCACCAGAAGTGCTAGTAAAATTACCTGACTTCCAACACAATCAAAACAGGACTTGGAGGGGAGGGGGCAAAGGGGAGGAGAAACAAAAGTATAATTCAGCAAACTGAAAGCCAACAGTCAAGTTCTCTTTTGTATAAAGAGGTTCTGCTAAAAAAACAAAAAAACAACAAAAAAAAACCTATCCCATATATTAATGGCAAAGGAAATGAATAATCAAAATTATAGCTACCATTTATTGAGTGCTTTCTTTATGCTAGTCACTGGTCACATACATGTTCTCCTTTAGTTCTTTGGCAATCTTGGGTAACCATTCTACAAATGGGGAAACTGAGGCTCAGAAAGGTAATAGCTTGCTAAGATTTCAGAGGTAGTAAGTGGTAGAAATGAAAGTAAAACTCGGATCTGTCTGATTCCAAAGAATTTGTTCTTTCCATTACATTCCACTGTCAATCTTGGAGCGTCTGCCATCTAATCTTACCCTCAGATTTCTTTTCTTCCACTCATTTGGCTGAATGTAATTAATAATTACTGACCATGTGAGTCAAATTTCATTAGACCTAACTTCAAGAAAACCAAATTTTGTTAGCAAGTATTTGAATATCACTAAGCTGTTAAGCTGCTTTGTGAATATCTTTTGCTATAAAGAGATGTTGAATGTAACATGGGTTTTTTAAAAATTATTTTTTGGGGGCATCAAGATCTAACATCTGTATTTCAGGGACTGAAATGTACATTTAATAAGCTGCTATTAGTAGGATAGCTCTAGATGACTAAAGAAAAGAAAAAATTGACCTTGGAATTTCTTGCAGGCATTCTGCAAAAGCTCACTGATCTTGGAACATTTGGATGTCTCTTATTGCTCCCAGCTGTCAGATATGATTATCAAAGCACTGGCCATTTACTGCATTAACCTCACGTCTCTCAGCATTGCTGGCTGTCCAAAGGTATGTGCAGGAGTCAGGACTCAAACATGTTCAATTTAAGCACTGCCATGGGACAAGGCAGGACAGCAGTCAGGGCTGGACTCAGAATGTGTTTTCTTCGCCATGGTTGAGGTATTCATTGAATTTTTTTTTTATATCCTCAGATTGGAAATAGCTTATGATTCCATTGGTGTCAAAGTAGAATTTTCCAAAAGTTAAAAATATAATTTTCATACAAATATAAACATGTGTCAAAGATTTCTTTAATTCACTAATGAGAGGACCAACAAAATGACAAAGCCAGTATGTAGAGCATTTGAATGAACTTAGTATTTATAGGAACTGATGAAAGAATGTTGGATTAAGAGTATTAAGATCTACAAATGTCTTACAAGTTATTAAATCTATAACCTTGGGGTTACAGTTTCTACGAGATACAAATAATTTACATCTTTCCTGGACAAAAATATAACAATTAACATATAACTTCATTGAGCTGGGGCCTTAGTGAACAGTAAATAGTTTGTCAAACAAAGGCATGATTTCCTACAGAATTCTCCAGGTAGGCCTGTTAAACAGTGTCCTAGGTTGACACTCCAAGGACATACCATCATCTTTTGTGTTATTTTCAAGCGTTTTATAATTTTTCTGAACCTCTGTATATAAATGAAGTACTCATTATGAAAAATTTGATCTACATATAAAAGCTTAAAGAAGAAAGTAAATATCCATTGTCCTATCATCACCTGGACATAACCATTGCTGGTATTTTATTCTTCTAGATTTTTTTTTTCTGTGCACAAAGAGATTAGAAATAGTTATAGAAAGTTTGTGTTTTGCCTTTTTTAAAAAAATAATAGAATCATACTTTCCAAAATACATTGTAACCTACTTTTTAATATACTATGGACATATCTCCATGTAAAGAACTAGAGATCTCGGGTTCTGGATTAATAATAGTAGACTGCATATACACATATAATTTTGTTCCTCTTGAAACCCTACCAAAACTAGACATGAAGAGTGAGGGCCCACATGGATAAGGAAAACAGGAGAGGAGACAAGAGCAACAAAAATTTGGAAGCTTGAAAATAGATGGACTAATTTAGCAGACCAGAAACTGCTTTGAATCCTAAGCCAACAGTAGAGAAAGCTGGAAAAAAAAATCTGATTTACACCACAATCTTCAAGCTTGGGAGCACTGTGTACCTTTGGAACTGGCTTAAGAGTGGTGATGAAAATAATGATGACTGAGTTAGAGATTCTTAAGAAGTAGATAGATCTCTATATTCCAGCTTCTGCTCCATAAATCTGGGCAACTGTCTCTCCCCACCCTAAACAGAAGCTTGGAGATTTATTTCCTAAATTCTGTTTCTTCATCCCTGACACTATGGATATTTTGGACAAGATAATGCTTTGTAGTGGGGTGTGTGTGTGTATCCTGTGCACTGTACATGTTTAATAGCATGCCTGCCCTCTACTCACTATATGTCAGTAGCACGTAAGATCCCATCCCTCCAGACCTTACCAAATGTTCTCTGGTGGAGGCGAGGGCCAAAATTGTTCTTTAATTGCCCACTACTCTAGAGATAGTAAAACAGAGGGTTGCTAGGCTAACTAAGTGACTGAATGCTGAGTGCAGAGATATTCAAGCACTTTTTCCAACTGAGCATCAAGAACTTGGTGGCCAGATCTTTTTCTCCAGGTGGGAGATTGGTAGCCTCTTCTCTGGGAACCCTGACTAGCCCAAGATGAAAGACCTAAAATAACTGATGGCTGGGTGGGGGGTTCCCAACAAATAACCCACCTAGATCATCCTTCATTGAAGCTTACAGTAGAGATGCATGTACTCAGACCTTCCGATTAGTTTTTAGTCCTCCACTCTTAATCATGAACAAGAGGATTACCAGACATAAGAGGAAGGTCTCTAAAGTGGAAGATACTGATCAACACAAATTAACAGGAAAAACTTGGAGTTAGCAAAATATGAAGAAGGAAGAAAACTAAGAAATCTTTTTGAAAATCCTCAGAAATTACAAGGTTATTAACAATCTTGTTCTATTCTATTGTGCACACTGAAGGTTTTTGTTTACTAGAGCATCCACATCAACTCTCAAGATGCCCTATGCTTTATTTAATCTAGAAGTTCAGCTTCTATGTTGTTTGGTTTATATGGTTAGCTAATTGTACTGCAATAAAAAGGAGGAGGCGGCAGGGAAAAAGATGTGGTAAACCATGACAAAACTAAGCCAAAAAGTTCACAGCAAAAATTATTTTTGTTTAATAATATAGTTGTTTAGAACTATGGGAACCAGATGGCTTTCTGGTCAGCATCATCTGGTTCTATCAGTGAGCTGGGTCAAGGGACCCAGAACACTAGCAGCACTGACCAACTGACTCTCTGCAGCTTAAACAGTGATAGTTCACCAGGATTCTTGCGTTCATAGCACACAGACATATGGGCAACACATGGTTTAGTGAGAAATGAGAACTGCTGTGGCTGTAAAGCAGGCACAGATGGAGACTAGGTGTCTTAGTGGCTCTAAAGCAGAAAGTAGGAGAATGAGAAAAGAAGAGGCTCCAGTGCCAACAGAAAACAGGGCAGAGGATTTTGTTTGTTTGCTTGCTTTGGTTTTTTGTTTTTTGTTATGAAGGTTGAGGGAATTCCTTCTGTAAACTGTGCATGGATATTGTCTTGCAGCCCAGAAGCTAAGGGGGATGTTAAACAAATATGCATGAAATGCATCACTCTATATCAAAAGTTTAGAGGGAGAAAGAGGAAGAAAGTGGAGTCGATTATTTTAGAACTCGGATATAAAGGAGTAGAAAGGTTTAGCTTTACCATCTGAATTAATTCTGGTCACACTGTGAGTCAGATGAGCATCCTGATTCAGATGTGAAGCCCATCATCTGGACCAATCTGAATACTCCTCAACTCACCCTGAATTCATAAGGCTGTGGTCCAGCCTAACATATTCCACTTATGTCGATTTTGATGAGCCGTAAAACATGCTGGTATCTGGTTCATCATTCTGTGCCAGGTTTCCCAAAAGTCCACAGGTGAATTTTGAATGGTCATCTTATCCATCCCCAGAAAGGCCAGCTTTTCCTTGCAACTACCTCACCTTCAAGGTCAGTCAGTAGTACTGTGACCTCATCCTACTCGACGCTAAAATGCCAAGGAAAACAAAGATAGCTGCAAATCAGAGGAAAAGCTGGTTGTTCTGGGGCCAGTTCAAAGCACTCAGCAGTGCACTAGGCCCTGTGATTAACACTGTCACTTTTGACCCTCATGACTGATGTGAAGTAGGAGTTAGTAATGATTAGAAAGAAAAGGGGGTGGGAAATGAGAAAAATTAAAGCAAAGCCCTGAACAAAATGTCTCTGCAATACACCTCTGAGAGGGATAAGGTAAGTGAAAACAGGCCAGTGCTTTAGAACTGCATTTCTGTCCTAAAAGCGTAGGTGACGTGAAGCAGGTCCACTGTGCACTGGTTACCAACTTGTCTGAGTCTAGTGAGACAGGATTCCTGGAGAGCCTGTTTCCCAAGGCTCAGGAAAGCTGCTCAAGATGGATGAAATCTCAACTGTAAATGTTCCACTTGCACCACAGCTGAAGGACTCTGGAAGGTGGACCACCTTGGGTTTTATAACCTGGGGTTCACTTTACCCACTGGGCTGAAGCACAAAGATGTCCTGTTTCTCGGGGGAATTGGAACAGAGCCTGGCTGTTCCAGTCAGTACCCCCTATCCTCAGTCTTAGGATGTTACATCCCAGCACATTCTATAGTTATGCTTGAGAATGACGATCTACAAAAGGGAGAGAAGGGGTGTGCCCAAGGTTACTTGAACTGTCCTGCAGGTGAAATACATCTGAGAAGGTGATTGAGCCAGGTCACAAAGCCCGGCTGCTCTTCCCTAAGGCCCCAGGCTCAGTTAAAGCTACACAAACTTGTGAGCTGGGAGAAATCCCCAGGGCATGCACAGAATTTCTCTTATACTAATATGGTAAAACATTTTACCCAAAAAGTTTATTATTTGGAGAAATGTCTCCAGACCACTGAAACACTGGGAGATGAGAGTAAATACTATTTTTTGTCTGTTTTAAATTACCCTCATTTTACAGATGGGGAAATTAGGAATGGAAAGGTATAGAGTATTGAGCAAATAGGATTTAGTGAGGTAACTTTATCCCAGTTCCACAGGCTTGTAATGTAATGGGAGAGGAGTAAGAGATTTCTACTTCTGGGATTCCCCATGACAACCCTACCCTTTTCAACCTTTATTTTCTTAGTGCAGCTGGCTAACATGTTTGGAAATTCTTTCAGCTTCGAGGTTTTAAAATGACCATAAGGAAAATCAATTAGAGGTTTCAAAATGGTCATAAGTTAAAGAAATGATCAATGGGTCATATTTTACTATATATTACAAAGGGTGAGATTTCTGGCACATGGTATTGGCTGATCTATTGCTATGTAACCAGTCACTCTCAAACTCGGTGGCTTAAGACAACTACATTTTATTTTCTCACAATCTTATGGGCCAGGAATTTGGGCTGGTTTTGGCTGCGTGGTTCTTCTGATAGTGGTTGGCCCCAGGGTTGCCCAAGCAGCAGCAGTCATCTCTTGACTCCCCTTAGAGCTGGTTGGCCTAGGGGACCCAGCTGGGACAGCTTCCTCCTGCTTCATGTGGTCTCATCCTCCAACAAGCTAGCTGAGCTGCTTCAAGGGCAGTAATACACTCCAAGAGGCTAAGGGCTAAAGGCAGAAGCTGCAAGGCATCTTGAGGCCTGGCTCAGAAGAATATGACTTCTGCTCCATTCCTTTGGTCAAAGCAAGTGACAAGGTTATCTTAGATTCAAGAGGTGAGGAAACAGACTCTACTTCTTCCTGAGAGTAGCTGCAAAGCATTTGTGGCCATTTTTAATCTACCACAGCTACATTCTCACAAATAAATGAAAATAATACAATAGAGCTCTTAGGAAATAGCCAAATATAGCATAATATAACATAATATGCAAGAAGATAATTTCCTAAGAGCCTCTCCCTCTTTTGGAAATATATCTTATATATTATATGTTAGATATATTTATTTATTTATTAGATATATTTATTAGATATATTATTTTATATATAGTATAGGTGAGACAGGGTATCACTTCTGTCTCCCAGGCCTGTATGTGCAAATGGTCAATCAACAGCTCACCTGCAGCCTAACCTCCCCAGGCCAAGTGATCCTCCCAGCCTCAGCCTCCTGAGTAGCTTTGGACTACCAGGCATGCCGCAGCTAATTTTGATTTTGCTAGATATGGGGTTGTCACCATGTTGTCCCAGCGCTGATTTCAAACTCCTGGGCTCAGTGATGTCCTCCTGCTAGCCTCCCAAAGGCTGGGATTACAGGCATGCACCACCATGCCCAGCTATAGTAAAAATATTTTTATTATATTGTAAAAGCCTCCCACAGTTTCAGGGGCTTAACCAAAAAGCTAGAGCAAAAACTGGACTCTCTTTTTTGGCCTGACTTTTTAAACACATATGGTTCTTACTGCCATTAATTTCATTATTAATATCTCATGAAACCAACTGGTCATTAAAACTAAAAAGTGTCATTTTGTGGACTATGTCCACCCCTTTTCGTTGCCGTCCATTGCTTCAAGGGCCAGTTTTTTCTTGGGATATCCACCAGAGAGTGCTAGTAAGATTAGCCTGACTGTCCCAACACAATCAAAACAGGACTTGAGGGGAGGGGGCGGACAAAGGGGCAGCGCGAGGAAACAAAAGTATTAGCATTCAGCAACTGAAAGCAACAGTGCAAGTTCCGTTCTTTTGTTATAAGCAATCGGGAGGTCTACTAAAAAAAAAAAAAAAAAAAAAGCAAAAAAAAAAACCCTATCCCAATATATTAATGGCAAAGGAAATGAAATAATCAATTATAGCTACCCATTTATCTGATGCTTCCTTTTATCTAGTCCACTGGGTCACATACCGATCGGTTCCTCTTATGGTCTTGGCAATCTCTGGGTAACCATTCTACAAATGGGGAAACTGAGGCTGCAAGAGAATTTAAGCAACTTATACCTATGGTGCACAATTGAAGAGTGCCAGACCAGGGGATTCAAATCAGAGAAAATACTACTAGTAAACGATGTGGAAAAAGATCCAAAATTAAGAAAGAAATCCAACTTAAAACATTATTATTTGAAGTATCATTTATTACCTACCAAATTGCACATTTTTTAATGGTAATGCCCAGTGGTTGGCAGGGGGTCAGTGAAACTGGTCCTTATATTGTAGATAGCATTATAGATGGGTTTAATCCTTTTGTGAAGCAATATGAAAATACGTAAACAAGAGCCACAAAAGTGGTCATACCTTGTCTTTGCCCACTTTCTGTTGTGTATAACAGAATACCTGAAACTGGGTAATTTATAAGAACAAAATTTATTTAGTAATATTACATTTCTGGAGGCAAGGTCAAGGTGGAGCATTTGGTGGAGAACCTTCTTGCTGGCAAGGACTCTCTGCAGAGTTCTAAGGCAATGCAGGGCATCACATGGCAAGGGAGCTGAGCATGTTAACAGGCTAGTTCAGATCTTTCTTCTTCTTATAAAGTCACCAGTCCCACTCCCATGATAACACATTAATCCATTGATGAGAGCAGAGCCTTCATGACCCGATCACCTCTTAAGGGCCCTACCTGTCAATACTGCCACATCTTGGATTAAGTTTCAACATGAGTTTTGGAGGGAACAAACATTCAAACTATAGCATACAAATCCACTTTCTGAAATCTGTCCTAAGGTAAACAGTCCAAAACTTGGAAAAGACTATATTTATGAACAGTCATCAAAATGTTATTTAAATAGTAAAAACTTAAGAACAATGGAAATGACCAGAAATATGTGAATGATAAACTAAACTACATCTACTAAATAAAACATTTTATAATAATTAAAGATTGTGAATATGAAGACTGTGCAGTAGTATGAGAATGCACTAGGAAAAACAAAAAAGCAAGATGAAAGCAAGGTTTGGTGGTGTGCAGCTATGTTTCCAGCCCCTTGGCAGGCTACGACAAGAAGACAGCTTGAGCCCAGGTGTTCCAGGCCAGCCTGGGAAACATGGTGAAACCCAACTTGAAAAAAAAAGAAAAAAAAAGGCCAGGCACGGTGGCTCATGCCTGTAATCCCAGCACTTTAGGAGGCCAAGGTGGGCGGATCACTTGAGGTCATCAGTTTGAGACCAGCCTGACCAACATTACTAAACACACAAAAATTAGTTGGGCGTGGTGGTGGGCGCCTGTAATCTCAGCTACACAGGAGGCTGAGGTGGGAGAATTGCTTGAACCTGGGAGGCGGAGGTTGCAGTGAGCCGAACTCGTGCCACTGTACTCCAGCTTGGGCAACAGAGGAAAAAAAAAAAAAGGGAGGATGCAAAATAAATGTAATTACTATATTTACAAATCTGTTAATGGGGATAGGAATGGGGAACTAGCAAGAAATATTCCAGAACACTAAAAGTAGTTATGTTAAGGTGATAAATTTGTAATTGTTTTCTTTTGCTATTATTGCTATTTTTTGGCAATGTGCTTATATTATTTCTAAAATATAAAATAATTTCATTTAAAAATAAACCAAAACATTTTTTCAAGGAATCAAAAGTAGTTGTGTTGGAAGTAACGCAATCTGCCCAATGAGGCTGAGACCAGGCCCTTATATCTGGGAGTTAAAAATGTAGCAAAGTTATTTCCATCTCCAGTTTCCAGCCCTTAATCCATAAATCCCAACGACATCACGTCAGTCATTGAACAACTTGAGCTACTGATCTGCAGGAACTGTCAGGCTCTTTTTCAGCTCTCCTAGTATCAAACCAAACCTGCTACTCTGAACTCCACCTTCCCTTGACTTTTCCATCACTTTGTTGTCCCTCGTTTTTTCTACAATTCTGAGGGCTTTTTTTTTTTTTTTCTTTTATCAATGACATCAGATCCTCAGAGATCAACCTATTATGGCAGGAATGTCTGAGACATTTTTGTGGAGTCAGTTGTAATGTTTAACCTTGGTCCTGAGCGTGTTCTGGAAACAAAGCATGTTTAGACAATGACAGCATCTCTTTTTCCAAAGTTAAAAAGTATATATTTCAAACTGAAGTGTTTTTCTGGATAATTCTTTTTTTTTTTTTTGGATAATTCTTTTAACTTTATGTTAAAACAAGAGCCAAGCCTCATGGCCTATGTTTTTTAGACTATTCAAACATTTAAAATAAGAAATTGAATGCAATTGGAAAAAAATTCCTTTGGAGAGAGTAATCTAGTTGATTCTGCAGCAAGGCTCAGTTTAGCTATAAATTTGAAAGCTAGTCCTGGAGTGAGTGAAATAATCTAAGTAGTATAGTTGAATTACCTCTGTAGGACATCTGGGCAAAACTGTGAGATGTTGGAACCCTTGGCAGGATATTTCAGAGTGGGATTTGGGTAGTATCTGTGGCTTCTGCTTCTCATTCTCCCCTTGCTTCCAAACATCTGTCTGGCCTACTTGTCCCTTTCCAGAACTAGGTTACTCCATCTTTTTTACATCTAAACCAACAGTGATGTCCAGGTCCCTTCTCATAGTAATATGAGCCTGTCTGCAGATTAACTTCGGAGGATATATATTTTGTAGTTTTGTAACATGTAATGTTATTAAACATATATTTTCACATTGATGATGCCTTAGAGAGGATTTTAAACTTAAAGCCAAATCCCATCTCTATAGCATTTCATAAGTTGCTCATATTGGTGTAACAGGTATTACTAAAAAATTTTGATGAAGTTTCCCATCCAAACCAGAGGACTCTTAAATGAAAATAACAGCAAGATCACAACTTTTTGTGTGTGTGTGTGGGGGGGGCGCGTGGGGCACAGGGACCCGCTCTGTCACTGAGGCTGTGTCACCCAGTGCAGTGGCGTGATCTTGACTCACTGCATCACTGACCTCCCAGGCTCAAACAATCCTCCCACTTCAGCCTCCCAAGTAGCTGGGACTACAGGCACATGTCATCCTGCCCAGCTAATTTTTGTATTTTGTATTGGGAGTTTCACCATGTGGCCCAGGCTGGTCTCGAACTGGGCTCTAGCAATCTGCCTGCCTCAGCCTACAAAAGTGCTGGGATTATAGGCATGAGCCACCGTGCCTTGCTAAGATCATAATTTCTATTGGTGCTACTTGAGGCAGATATTTTACTGTTCTGACCTTATTTGGAAACAGCTAAACAACTCACTTGAATTGTAGGCCCATTATGTGACAAGCTGGGGGAAAGAGAATTTGCAAGTGTCTGATTTTGTTACTCTATTTGTTATGAATTGAATGTTTGTCCTTCAAAAATTCTTATGTTGAAACCCTAACTCCCACTGTGACAGTAATAGAAAGTGGGGCCTTTGGAAGTAAACAGGTTTAGAAGAGATCATAAGGGTAGAGCTCTCATGATGGGATTATGGCCATATAAGAAGAGAAAGACTAGAGCTCGCTCTCTCTCTCTGCCATGTTAGAAGATAGCAAGAATGGAGGCATCTGCAAATAAGGAGGGACTTCCCAAGACACCAATTGCAGGTACCTCTATCTTTATCTTGATCTTGGACTTCCCAGCCTCTAGAACTGTGAGAAATAAATGTTTGATGTTTAAGCTACACAGTCTGTGGTAGTTTATTATAGTCGCCCAAAGTGACTAAGGCACTGTTCTTCCCTGAGATAGTGTTTGAATAGCCAGTACTTACTTTGGCTCTGTGTTCAGATTACTGACTCAGCGATGGAGATGTTATCGGCAAAATGCCATTACCTGCACATTTTGGATATCTCTGGTTGTGTCCTGCTTACTGACCAAATCCTTGAGGACCTTCAGATAGGCTGCAAACAACTCCGGATCCTTAAGATGCAATACTGCACAAATATTTCCAAGTAAGTATGTACCTGACTATGACAAACTTTGAGAACTACTTTCTGAGAAAACATAGTATATGGCTATAAGGTTCATAATACATAGCAGCTTTCAGTGTTAGGAAGTTTCATTTCATTTTATTTTTTGCCTAATTGAAGCTAACATTGTGAGCTGTTCTAAAATGGCCTTTGTGGTTTCCTATCCCTTTTCCAGTAGGCCTTTTACTTTAAGCATCTTCCCTTCCTTGACTAAGCAGGTGTCCAAAGCTTTAACTCTAGCTCTTTCTCTGCTCATTTCTCAAAATACAGTCCATTCAGTTAATCTCCCCTAGAGGATTACGAGAATCATCTGATTAAACAAGCTCACAAGTTTTTGCCTCTTGACTGAGGGCAAAAATGTGCAAGTATTTTAACTGACCTGATAAAGTAACATATGAAATGCTTAAAATGAGAATCCTTGACCATTCCCTGAATAGAAGATAAGGTTCTATTGGGCAGGTGTGAAAAATTAATACCAAGAATTAATATTATCAAAGTATAAAGTGCACAATGTGACCCACGCATGTAGATTTCACAGAGGAACTTTCTTAATTAAGTAGTTATGGCATGAGCTGAACCATGAGCTCTGGTTACTTGAGGCCTGAGGAAGAAAATGGTTTCTTATCCAAGGAAGTGTGAGTTAAAATGAAATGGAAAAAAGAAAGAAAAATTACTTGTGAAACAGCCATTCCCACTGGGCCCAGGCCTGCAGCGGGAGGGCAGCCAGCTGGAGCTGGATCAGAGAGAAGGGGGTAGGTCCTTGAAAATTTTTGAGGAGGGGTGGAGACTCAACCCTTCATGATAGGTCTGGAGATAACTCTGATATGAATACTATTAACCTCATTTAAAGAACATACAATGAAATAGGGTCCTAGGAGTCTCTGCCAAACTTGTTAGATTATTAACAGACAACTTTGGGCAAGATGACAGTGAATGAATAATGTGTTACTCAAAGGAGTTTAGCTTCTAATCTTTTGATTGTATTTTGCCAATCACTATTTATAAGAGGTAATATTACTGAACTTCTAATAAGTAAGATTCTAGAATGAATGGAGATTTTCTGGCAAGGGGCTCTTTGAACCTAATCATGGTGTGATGCTATGGTTTGAATGTGTCCCCCCAAGTTCACGTGTTGAAAATTAATCCTCAATGCAACATTATTGAGAGGTGTGACCTTTTCAGAGGTGATTAGGTGATGAGGGCTCTGCCCTCATGAATAGACAAATGCTATTATCGTGGAAGTGAGTGAGTTATCATGGGAGTGGGTTCCTGATAAAAGGATGAGTTAGGGCTCCTTCTCTCCTGCTATGGGATGATACAGGAAGGCCCCTGCCAGTTGCTGGCACCTGATATTGGACTTCCCAGCCTCTATAACTATAAGAAATAAATTTCTTTTCTTTATAAATTACCCAGTCTGTAGTATTCTGTTATAGCAACACAAAATGGACCAAGACATATGGGACACTGAAGTATGATTAATATAGTGACTGGTCAAGAAGACCCAGGATATCCAGTAACATCCGAATCCTGCCTTTAACTAATCAGTCTTCTTGCTGGGTCCCTAGATTTAATAAATATACGTGCAAAAAAAAAATAATAATAAAACAAGGCATAGTAAGACTTGGCTACTAGCTGGGCTTTGTCCCAAAACCCCAATGCAGAACTCTAATTAACCGGCTATAGCTATGAAAAATTCCATTGTCTAAGCCGTGACAGCCAAAGGCCTATTTTGTCTTCTGCAATCAAACTTGGCTGTCCCTATCCACAAGAAGCAGGCAGAGACTTGGCCCTAATGCTTAGAAAGGGGCTGGTTTTGTGTGTGCACTTCATTGTCTAAAGAGGCCACACCACTACCCTTTAGTCTCCCTGAAAGCTCCACCTTTGCTTAGCTCTAGCAGGAAAGAGGCCTAGAATCCCTTGATTCCATCTTTGTCTAGCGATGGAGAAACAGTCCTCACTGCAGAGTAGCTTGGAGAGTCCCAGTGTTTGGACTAATAAGGCTCCAGAAACATCTGTCTTTATGTCCAGCATCTAGGAGGGGGTGCTACTTGTCAGTTAGGGGGCTCCTGAAATACCCTGGCCTCAAATTTTTTGATTAGAGAAGTGGTAAGGAGGCCTAGTTGCAGGCAGCTTTTTGGGATCAGCTCTGGGGGCTCTATTTTGCATTTAAATCCTTTGGTGGAGTTGGAAATGCACAGTGTATGTAGACGCTTCAAAACTCAAGCCCTTGATGATCTCTAATTCCTTGCCTATGCTCACTCTAATCAGGGCCAGTGTGGCTCCCTCAACTGCAGAGGCTTTGTCTTGTCTGGGTGAAACAGAACCTTTGGTAGGTGGGATAAGAGAGATTTTTCTGGCTTGGGAAGAAGCTCAGTGACTTTGAATCACAAAGCAATGCTCTCCACATGCTTGATTCCATTTTGAACATGAAAACAATGTATGGTGCAGCCCTTAAGATCCAATTACAGCTGTCAGAAGAGGCTGTTTTATACATAAATTCCCTCATACTCAGTGGAATTTGAAATTACTGCGCCAGCTTTGCAAATCAAAGAGGTCTGCTCAGCTCACCCTTTCTGAACCAGAGGAGTAGCAAACTTTTGGTCAATGAGCAAATTGGCTGTAGCTCTTTTGCAGGAGAGTTTCCCACAGAAGATATGTCTGGCATTCTACCAACCCCAGAGTCTGAAGGGTTTCCAGGAAGTGACCCCAGAAGCGCCATGTGGATGCAAGATAAAGGCTCCTTTATTTCAGGGAGGAATAAGTAACAACTATGATCAGAAAACATGACAAGCTGTTTGTATTTGAAGCAGCTGTGACAGCCAGCCATTCAATTTATGGCCCTCTGTGGGGAAAGGCAACAAGGTAGAAAGAGTGAGAGAGAGGAAGAAAGACCTTCACAATGGCCCCCACAACCCAGGAGGGCCTGAACCACAGAGAACCTGAAGAATCACTAATTGTATAGTTAGCGAAAAGGCTAATTCAAGAACAGGAAACCAAATAATGCATGTTCGCACTTACAAGTGGGAGCTAAATGATGAGAACACATGGATGGGAACAAGACACACTGGGGCCTGTTGGAGGGTGGAGGGTGGGAAAAGGGAGAGAATTAGGAAGAATAACTAATGGATACTGGGCTTAATACTTGGGTGATGGAATGATCTGTGCAGCAAACCACCATGGCACACGTTTACCTATGTCACAAACCTGTACATCTTGTACATGTACTCCTGAACCTAAAATAAAAGTTGGAAATAAATTTTTGAAAAAAGTAAAGGAAACTTTCTGGTGTATTTGCATCTGGAGCCCAAAACCTTCAATTCTAGAGAACGAGTAAAGAAAGTCTTAGTGGCCTTCAGAGCCCCAAATCACAGTATGAAGATTCCTGGAGGGCCTTCTTAGCAGTTGCTAGAAGCGTAAACTTGAGCAATTCCTACTCTCAGGCATTCTAGGAGATCTGTGTTGCTAAAACATAAAACTCTTATCAGAGTTCTCCTCTCCAGCTCATGGAAAGGTTCAAGCCTTTCTGATGTGGAACTGTTGACTTTTATTATCGGTATGAACAAATAATGTTATTTAACAATTATTTGCCACGTACTGTGCTAAATCCTATTTTACAGATATTATAGAATCCTCACAAATACACTTTATCATCAAAATGGATAAGGAAACTAGTTTAAACAGGTTAAATAACGTGCCCACAGCCACACAAATAAGGAGAGCCCTACTTTGTACCTAGGTCATACTGTGCTGCTTTTTGCCTTTAGATTACATTCTCAAGCTTTTTGAAAGCTCTGACATTCAAGGGATGTGGTCAGTAAGGGGAGACACGTGCTCTGCTGTGCCCAATTTATGTCTGATGCACATTTATAAGACAGGCTATGGATTATGAGCAATCCTTGGTGGTGGCTCCAACATTCCCTTTTTTTGCCTACTCAAGAGATTAGAAGGAAATGTGAGCTAGGGCACACAATGTTACTACAGGGCTAACCCTGAATCCCTTTTAATTTATAAGAAACAAAAATCACTAACAAACTTCAGTACAGTGTTGTTATTAACCACCTAATGTGAAACATTACAACTGTGACATATCTTGTTTGAGAATCACTGTCCTATACTGAGCCAAAGAAACCTCTCTCACCAGGTTAAATAAGTAATGATGACTAACCACTGCAGCAGATTGGTTCAATTCCCAAATCATTTCATACAGGGTCTCACAGTCACTTAGGCCAAAGCAGAATGGAATGCAGTCAAAGGATTCCATATGTGCTCTATGAAATTTAGAACACACAGTGGTTCCTAAGAATACATTTTCTTTTCAATATTTCCTAGCTCCCATGTGCTGATCATACTGCAGCATCAAGCTATTAAGACAGAAAGGGGAGGGGTGGGGGGAAGAGAGAGAGAGAGAGGTTTCTCGCAGAAATGTAGTTTCTACATTTTTAACGTTCCTGATACCATTCAAAATACATGTGTAAGAGCTTCTGCACAGCAAAAGAAACAATCAACAGAGTAAACATAATGGGAGAAAAATATTCGCAGATTATGCATCCGACAAAGGTCTACTATCCAGAATCTAGAACTTAAATCAACAAGCAAAAACCAAACAACCCCATTAAAAAGTGGGCAAAAGACATGAATGGACACCTCTCAAAAGAAGACATACAAGTGGCCAACAAACATATGAAAAAATGCTCAACATCACTAATCATCAGAGAAATGCAAAATTACTCACAATGAAGTATCATCTCACACTAATCAGAATGGCTATTATTAAAAAGTCAAAAAATAACAGATACTGGTGAGGACATGGAAAAAAGGGAATGCTTATACACTGTGGTGGGAATGTAAATTAGGTCAGCGAAAATGGAAAGCAGTATACAAACTTCTCAAAGAACTAAAATAGAATTACCATTTAACCCAGTAATCCCACTACTGGGTATCTACCCAAAGGAAAAGAAATAATTCTATCAAAAAGACACCTGCACTTGTATGTTTATTGTGGCATCATTCACAACAGCAAAGTCATTGGATCAACCTAAGTGCCTGTCAGCGGTGGACTGGATAAAGAAAATGTGGTACATTCAGACCATGGGATGCTACACAGTCATAAAAAATAATGAAATCACGTCCTTTGCAGCAACATGGATGCAGCTGGAGGCCGTTATCCTAAGTGAATTAACACAGAAACAGAAAACCAAATACTGCATGTTCTCACTTAAAAGTGGGAGCTAACCATTTGGACATAAAGATGGAAACAATAAACACCGGGAACTCCAAATGTGGGGAGGCAGGGAGGATGGTGAGGGTTAACAAAGTACCTACTGGGCATCATATTCACTATTTGGCTGATGGGTTCAATACCAGCCCAAACCCCAGCATTTTGTAATACACCCACATAACAAACCTGCACATGTACACCCTGAATCTATTTTTTTTTTTTTAAAGGTACATTTGTGCAAACACACAGCTACATAGGATGCTATGATAAAGAACTCAGAAAAACCTTCTGGCAGTCACTTGCCGATCTCTTCTCTTGGCAAGGTCCTGGGTCTTAGGATAGTCAGTCCATGTGAGGATGCCAAAGGTGATGAGGACAGCTAGTCATGGCTAAGGCTTTTCTGAAGGGCAGGCAAGAAGTGGAATAGGGAATAGTCTACACTAGTATCCATAGCTCTCTAAAAATAATCCTAGATTTGCTCCAGGACAGATTCATATTTTCTGTTTTTCCCTAAGACCACCCTTGTTGTGAAAGCACTTAAGACTAAAACAGGCCCTAAAGACACACCAGGTGGAGGAAGCCTTAACCTCCCAGAACTTGAGTCTGGAAGGAGAGTGCGTTTGAGATCTGATCCTTTGCTCCCCTCCAGTCAGTAAGGATCACTTCCAATAGTCAGGGGACCCACTGATGTTTGGTTTCACTAAAGCTGTCTGTGGGTGGACTGGAGAGCAGAGCTGGGGTAAGGGGGACGGGGATTAAGGAATGAGTATATTAAAGAAATGTGTATACCTGTGGGCACTTCACCCATGGCTGGGGTTCAACATGCAGCTCATTTCGATTCTGTCCCATCACACTGCATTAAAGGAGTTGTCTCCCTGTTCACTTGCTGTTTTTCTTATATTAAGGAGTCAACATTCTCACCTTTCTTTTTCTTATTTTTTCAAACCCCCACTACTTGCTAATTGTTTTATATCACAATTACCATCTAATTTACCCTGGCTTGTAGCTGACTAAGCAACCATAGCACTCAATATTTACACATTCCCAGACTTATCATTAGTAGTACTTATCCTCTTACCAGTTATCTAGAACCCTCAAAACTGTTGCTCTTCTGACATTAAAGGTAAGATGTAACTTAGTGAATCAGGTTTTGCAAATCTTTTACTCCCTAAAACAAGCATTTCCTTTTCCTGTAGGTCAAGATCATTGTTGCCTCTAACTGTGCTACTCTTGTACTATAGTCAACATCAGTGGCATTGAATGATTATGAACAACTGAGAACTGCAGGGTGTGTCCAGAACTCTGGTGTTTGGGAGGCAGGAGGCAGGAGGGTGTTGGAAATAGGAACATAAGAATGCCCTTCTAGACCAGCAAACCAGCAAAAGCCAAGAGGGTTAAAGGACTTCCCTTCTTGGTGTAAGCTGCTGAAATCTCTCTTTTGGGCTATTCATGATAAGTTTCAGAAAGTTGCAAAGAAATGTAATAAACTCTTAAGTAACTTACTGCCTTCTTAAATAAAAGGAAAATGACAAAGTTTAAAATTATAAATAATTAATGCCATGAAGCTATGTAATAGAAAGAAATTAATTCTATGATCAACTTCCTGTAGATATTTAGAGGAGGAGAAGATTGGGTTTGAGCCATTTCCAAGGAGGCTGGATTGGTTTGGAGTTTTGAAAAATGGATAATGTTTAGGCTGGTAGAGATGGGTGAAGGGTAACAATGGAGCCTTGCTGTTTAGGACACTGTTTACTCACATGAAACTGATGGTGCCAATGTTATATGCCTCAACATTTGGTATTACGTTTCAGTAAGTCTTAGGGGGAGAAATGTTCAGACAGTGTGTTGAAAGATACGATAAGTTCACCTTTATAGAATTGAAAAGGGAGAGATATCATTAGGAGAATAATATGGGAGAAGCAAAAGATATAAACCCATTACTTTTGCATAGTAATGTTCTACGATGAGGATATATAAAGATTACATAAGAGGTTTAAAATGCAGGATAGCACCTTTAAAAAAGATAAAAAAATTAACAGAATGCAAAACATTATCTTTGACAATAAACTTATCATTTTCAAAACTGAGAATAAATATTTCTCTGAAGAGAATAAACTTGTTTGCCGAGTTTTAGTCCATAGGGATTGGTGGCTTCAAACTAGAAATTAGTATATGATCATTGCTTTTACTCAATTTGTTCTTTAAGTATGTAGAAGTTTTGTGTGAGAGCAGATATATCAGTTAAAAAGCAATGTGCTTAGAGGCAGAATTAGCAATGCTTTGGTTATCTCCCTGTTGAGTTTGGTTACAATTATTTTAATACATCTGAAGTCAACTTAACTGTAACAGCAATTTAAACTGCTATCTCTGTGTTGTTGGGGTTTTTTCTTCCTATTTCATTGCCTTACCTGAACTCATATCGCCATTCAGCACAAACTTAACTCAAAGTGTATGGTAATGCCAGCTCCATATCAATGACTCAGTTTCCAGACTTTTGCAATTAATAACTCAATGTAACATACAGCAAGAGTGGAGAAGGTAGTGCCTTCATGGGTAAACATCACAGTTACTAATTTCTAATCCTACAGAAGTGGTCAATTGCTCATCTCCTTTTTAGTACTAATCTCGTGATTCAAACCAACTTTCTAGGAAAGGAAATTCTTCCTTCTGTCCTCACAATGGCTTTGTTTTCAAGTTAGACATACTTTTTTCTGATGCCTTCTTTACTTTCTTATTTCCTCCTAAGAAAGACTATAACAGTATTTTTTAATCACTTTGGTCATGGACACCTTTGAGTCACAAACCTTCTCATAAAAATGTGTATTATAGACAAAACTACATGAACTTTCAGGGAGTACATGGACCTCCCTGAAGTTCATCCATGTAGTCAAAAGGGATCTGTGAACTCTGGGTTAAGAGCTCCTGGCCTGGTGCATGGTCAGCCTTCACAGGTAGGGTGGTTAGGTTACTCCCTCATCAGAGAAACTAGAAATACCAAGGAAGGGGCGTACTCAAAGCAGTGTAAATAAATAGAGGCCTCAGTGTTCCTCTTCCATGGCCATGTGTAGTTTCCTTACCCATTCACTGTATCTGTTAATTTCTGAAGTGGTTGAATCAGAGCTACTGAGGCTTTGGGACCCTCTTTATTTGTACATTTACCCATCTCCTCACTCTCAGCAAGGCAAGAGAGGTCTGATGTGAATTCAAATTGTGACAGCGAATTCTCTAACTCCAAATTTGGTTGAGTTTGAAAATTCTGCACTAGGGATTACTTCTGCAACTAGCTAATGCTAAGCACTGTTATTACAGGAAGGCAGCTCAGAGAATGTCATCTAAAGTTCAGCAGCAGGAATACAACTCTAATGACCCTCCACATTGGTTTGGCTATGATAGGGAAGGAGACCCTCTTACAGAGCTTGACAATGTAACACCATCTAAAGGAGCCTCAGAATTAACAGTGGAAAAGTCAACATATAGCAGTGAAGAGCAAGTAGCGTGACCTTCAGCCTCAAGCAGGAAAAACAACAAATCAAGAACTTGACAAGTTTTCTCCATTTGTTGCAAGTATGTTCACTAGCTGAATCTCAATAACAATGTAAACAAGCAACAAACCATCTTCTGATTCTTATTCCAACTACAAATATTTCCAAATACATCAGTAGTTCTTCTGTCTAAATAATCATGATTTAAAAAAGAAGCCAGGCTGGGAGCAGTGGCTCATGCCTGTAATCCTAGCACTTTGGGAGGCCGAGGCAGGTGGATCATAAGGTCAGGAGTTCGAGACCAGCCTGGCTAACATGGTAAAACTCCATCTCCACTAAAACTACAAAAATTAGCTGGCTGTGGTGGTGAGCGCCTGTAATCCCAGCTACTCGGGAGGCTGAGGCAGAGGACTCGCTTGAACCTGAGAGGCGGAAGTTGCAGTGAGCCTAGATCACGCCACTACACTCCAGCCTGGGCGAAAGAGCAAGACTCTGTCTCAAAAACAAAACAAAAAACAAACAAACAAAAAGAAGCCATATCAAGTACTGACTACATAAAATTTCTGCCTAAATTTAATCAAACCAATAGTTTTTTGATGAGATTATAAAATGTAAAGTTATATGAAACAACCCTGAGAGATGAGATTTTTTTTTGATAAGAAATTAAGAAATTTTTCTCTAGAAAGGAAAAAGAAAGCAGAGATGGCCATATGTCAAACTAAGAGTTTGAGCCAGGGCCATAACTTTAAGGATCTGTGGTGCTTTATAAAGTTTTATAAAGAATACAGACATATATTAATATTTTCAAAGGAAATGTGGCTTTCCTGTGGTTTCCAGACATTTAACAACAAAAGAGAACTAAATGCCACCAATTAACTCTGGACTTATCTCAACATTTGACTTAGTCAGGGGCAAATTAAATAGAAACTAGAACTATCTGAATAGAAAGAATGTCCCTGCAATGTCTCAGAAAGATATTTCTTTAATCAAATTTGCACAATGGAGGAATTCTTAAACTATGCTATGCCAAAAAAGATGCTCCCTCAATTTTATGCTAGGAAGTATGGGTTATTAATTGCATATCTACATATTAGTTTTTAATAAGCTTTAATCTGTGGGTTTTAGTATATGTGCTGCTGAAGCCAGCACATCTGTGGGTTTTTACCATTATTTGATATTATGTAACACTGATGTTGACACAGTCCAAGAGAAAGCACAACTCTGTTCTGACTGCTGCAAACAAGCTATGTCAGCAATATCAGATCAGCCTTTTAACCTATTTCCTCAATTACTTATCTCTCACGTGGAGTTCTCTTTTTGTATTCCACAAGTTTCAAACAAGGATTAAAAACTTAAAGCATCGTTATTTTGAAAAGTTTTAAAAAGATTGTACAAAGTATTATTATAGATTACCCTGTATTAGCTAAATGCTTTTAGTAATTCTCCCCCACTGAGGCTGATTTGCAAAGTTTTTGAAATAAGGTAATATTACTTAGCTGTGGAAAGGTTCTTAGGAGTGGGCACACAGGCAACAGAATCATTTCAATGGGAAGTTTTAGAACCATAACCAAGAGACATAAGATGACATAAGAGTACGGTTTTAACCTAAATTTGGAAATTTCTGGCAGCTGCATTAAAGATGTTTTCAAAAATCTGATTCCTAAGTGCCCATGCACACAACTGGAGGAACTTATAAAAGAGGCAATTGCTTTCTAAAGGAATGACACCTGCACTGGGAAGACCCCGGTAAGAAACACACCTTGTTACGTATTCTCCAGAAACCTAGCAGGTTGCTTTACATTCAGAGCTTGCTCCAAAGCTCTTTGAGTAACATCCTCTCTTAAACAAGAACAGAAGACACATTCATTCATTCATTCCAGGGAGACAAATTTTACAGCTACATAAATGAAAAAAAGGAGTAGAAAAAGTGAGCTATGAAAGGAACCAAGAAGTAAGGTATACAGGTAGAGAAATCTTTTAAGTTCTCAGTGCAAAGTACTCAAAATATCAAAGATATTAGTTAGGTCTTTAGCCCTTAAACATTTCATATTTATAGGTCTGTGTCCAAGAGAGTAAAATATTTCAGCTTTTTCTTTTTGTCTGGGACTTAACAATGTGATCCAAATATGTACAATTCCATTAATAGTTTAAATATAGTTGACTGCTATTATGCTTATGACTTTTCTGGCTGTGATTGGCAAATTTATTTTTAGTCATGAAAATGTTTATGTAATTGCATGAAGGTGAAAAAAGATTATAAAAATTGCCTCACTGCCACACAGTTTCCTCTACTTAATAGTATAACACAACCCAACCATACCAAATATACCAATGTGTGAGTATCTTTCAGACTTGTATACATTCTCATTTCATGAAGGGTGAACTAAAAGGAGACTTTGAGATACCCTACAAAGCTGACTTTTGTTTCATAAATAAGAAGTTAAAAACAGAACTCTAAAGAAATGGCATATTAATGAAAAGGAGGCTGGGCACAGTGGTTCATGCCTATAATCGCAGCACTTTGGGAGGCCAAGGCAGAAGGACAACTTGAGGCCAGGAGTTCGAGACCTGATGAACTTGTAAGACCCACCTCTATAAAAAATTAAAAAATTAGAGCAGGCATGGTGGTACCTGTCTGTAATTCCAGCAACTCAGGAGGCTGAGGCAGGAGAATGCCTGAGGCCAGGAGTTTAAGGCTTCAGTGAGCTATGATCATGCCACTGCACTCCAGCCTGGGCAACAGAGTGAGACCTCAGAAAAAAAGAAAAAGATAATCATAAATAATATTTGGAAAGGTTTGTTAAAAATTAAGTGTTTAAGAATGGACTTTCCTGGCCCAGTGCAGTGACTCACACCTGTAATCCCAGCACTTTGGGAGGCCGAGGCAGGCAGATCACATGAGGCCAGGAGTTCAAGACCAGCCTGGCCAACGTGGTAAAACCCATCTCTAGTAAAAATACAAAAATTAGCTGGGCATGGTGGCGTGCACCTGTAATGCTAGCTACTCTGGTGGCTGAGGCATGGGAATTGCTTGAATCTGAGAGGCAGAGGTTGCAGTGAGCCAAGATTGTGCCACTGTACTCCAGCCTGAGTGGCAGAGCAAGACCCTGTCCCAAAAAAGAAAAAAAAAATTGACTCATCTTAATCATAAAAAATATAATCCAAGCGATGTAGGCCATTCTTGTTTTGCTATAAGGAATACCTGAGACTGGGTGATTTATAAAGAAAAGAGGTTTAATTGGCTCACAAGGTTTAATTGATTCTGCAGGCTGTGAAAGCATTGCATGGGCACCTGCTTGGCTTCTGGGGAGGCCTTAGGGAGCTTTTACTCATGGCAGAAGGCAAAGTGGGAGCAGGTACATCACATGGCAAGAGCAGAAGCAAGAGAGGGGGAAGATGCCCACACCTTTAAACAGTCAGATCTTGCGAGAACTCACTATCATGAGGATAGAACCAAGAAGGTGGTGGTAACAATCAGTGAGAAATCTGCTCACATGATCCAATCAGGCCCCACCTCCAACACTGGGGATTACATTTCATCATGAGATTTTGGGGGACAGATATCCAAACTACATCACCAAAAGATAGGTCTGGTCTTATAGTATAGTTATAGTATTATATAACTTATTTATTTATTTTAATTAATTTTATCGAGACGGAGTCTCACTCTGTTGCCCAGGCTGGAGTGCAGTGGTGTGATCTCGGCTCACTGCAACCTCTGCCTCCCAGGTTCAAGCAATTCTCCTGCCTCTGCCTCCCGAATAGCTGGCATTACAGGGATGAGCCACCATACCCAGCTAATTTTTTTTTTGTATTTCTAGTAGAGATGGGGGTTTCACCATGTTGGCCAGGCTGGTCTCGAACTCCTGACCTCAAGTGATCCATCCACCTTGGCCTCCCAAAGTGCTGGGATTACAGTCATGAGCCACTGTGCCTGGCCAGTATTATGTAATTTAAATATTCCAGGAATAGAGATGTTTGAAAGAAATTAAATTCATAAAATATCTTTATACAGTATACCTTTATAAAAATCTGTCTTCATACATCAAGCTATAAAATAGCTGTTTCTTTCCTCCTAATGAGCTACATCTTAAATTACACAAAAGATATTAACAATCAGTAGCAACTGCTTCACATACGTGTTTTTTATTTACAGCTTAAATTTACATTGATGCCATAAGAGGTACTAAGTAGAAAACCTGTCATGTGAGAGCTACATTATAAAGAATTCTAAGCTAATTGACCCCGCATGATGGATGCCTTTGTATAATCTCCTTCTCTTGAGTGGGAGTGGAAACTGAATGCGATGGGCCATCACTCCTACGAATGTTACATTATATGGCAAAACAGACGTTATCCTGGGTGGGCCTGACCTAATCGAGTGAGCCCTTTAAAAGTATATATTCTTCCAGCTGGTTGCAGAAGAAGTCAGATATTCAAAGCATCAGAAGAACTCAGTGCATCACTGCTGGCTTGAAGATGGAGGGGCAACATGAGAAGGCATGTGGGTGGCCTCTAGAAGCTTAGAGTGATTGCTGGCTGACAGCCAGCAAGAAAATGGAGACCTCAGTCATCCAGTCACAAGGAACCAGATTTTCCCAATAATCTGAATGAAGTTGGAAGTAGATTTCTTCCCAGAGACTCTAGATGAGAACTCAGCCTGGCCAAAATCTTGATTCTAGCCTTGTGATTCCCTGAGCAGAGAACCTAGACATACTGGGCTCTTGGCCTACACAACTGTGAGCTGTAAATGAGTATTATTTTATGCTGCTAAATTTGTGGTAATTTGTTATACAGCAGTAGAAAATGAAAACAATAGCAAAGTACACATTTTGAAAAAGCCTCCCAAAACAGTTCACCAGTATTCATTCTCAATTTGTTGTTTTCAACCTTTATATGAACGGTGGGATTTACATTTTTGTAGTCACAGATCTGCGAATCATTGTTAAAAATCATAAATCCAAATCAAATCAGTCTTAGTCCTGCAGTTTCAGGGACTGAAACCAGCTTTGCCTTCTAAAACTTACAGTGCCTTTTGGGGCATCAGCCTTAATCCATTTTTCACTTTTGCTTGCTTGATTCATGAGTCCTAAAATACAAAATTGCATAAAGTTATATCAAGAGCATTAATTGACCACATAGATCCTAGCAACACATCTATAAAACTGAAAAACACCTTAGAACATCAAGAATCTTGGTAAAGATAGTCTGAACTGGGAAAGAGTTGCAAAGAGGTTATCTGGGCTTGCTCCCCTCCATTCACTTTCTCAGAACAACCCTGCGAGGGAGGCTACTCTGTGTTTTATTTTGTTTTGTTTGAGACAGAGTCTCGCTCTGTTGCCCAGGCTGGCGTACAGTGGCACGATCTCGGCCCACTGCAGCCTCCGCCTCCTGGGTTCAAGCGATTCTCCGGCCTCAGTCTCCCGAGTAGCTGGGACTACAGGCACGTGCCACCATGCCCAGCTAATTTTTTTGTATTTTCAGTAGAGACGGGGTTTCACCATGTTGGCCAGGCTGGTCTTGAACTCCACACCTCAGGTGATCCACCCACCTTGGCCTTCCAAAGTGCTGGGATTACAGGCATGAGCCACCATGCCCAGCCTACCCTGTATTTTTTTCTTTTTTTTTTAAGTAGAGACGGGGTTTCACATGTTGGTCAGGCCAGTCTCAAACTCCTCACCTTGTGATCCACCAGCCCCAGCCTCCCAAAGTACTGGGATTACAGGCATGAGCCACCACACCCGAGCTCTGTTTTTTATTTGTACAGGATGAGTATCCCTTATCTAAAATGCTTGGGACCAGAATTGTTTCAAATTTCAGATTTTTTTTTTTTGTAATATTTGGAGAAGACATACTAGTTGAGCATCCCTAATCTGGAGATCTGAAATCCAAATTACTCCAGTGAGCATTTCCTTGTTTCATGTTTTGGAGCATTTCAGATTTTGGATTTGGAATGCTCAGCATATATTATTTTTAAATGCAGTCTTAAAAAAGTGCTTTACTGGAGTATAACTGACAAACTACATGTACTTAAAGTATACAACGTAGTAAGTTTTGACATAGATAAAAATCTGTGAACCATATCTCCTTAATCAAGATAATGAACATATTCATCACTCCCAAAAATTTATTTGTATTCAAGTGCAGTCTTTCCCTCATGCTCCTCCCTTCCTGTCACCCTCCAACCCCGACCCCCTTCAATTACTGATCAGCTTTGTAGCACTATGGATTTGTTGCTCTTTCTAAAATCTTATATAAATGGTATAAATGGGAGTATACAGTTATGTACTTTTTAAAAAAAATCCATCTTCTTTAATTCAGCATAATTATTTTGAGGTTCATCCACAGTGGACCATGTATAGGTAGTTTCCTCAACGCTTGCTCATTAGTACTTTGCTGATTGTTCATGGCACCTTCCGCAATCCCCTCTGTGCAGCTTGCTCCCCTCCGGAACTTTCTCTTATGAACTCTGGGCAGCCCTGTCTCTCCAGAAGCTCAGCTCAGAAGCTCAGTCTCCTCTACTCAGGCAGTCTGCTGGGCTCTGCCTGTGCAACCTCTCCCTGCCCTGCAGCCTGGAAACTCTTTCAAGGTCATAGGCTGTGGCAATCACAAAGCTCTCCTTGTTTGTTTCTCAGATCTATTCTTCTAGTTCTATGTTTTCTTTACAAATCAAGGTTATAAAGGTGTTATATGTCCTCTGGAGTTCCACTGCAGTTCTGGATTTAAGAAACCAGTCAAATTGAGACAGAGCAGGGACTGCTTGTAGGGGCCTGTGGGCCCTTCTCAAGCACAAAAATTAAAAAAAAAAAGAAAAAAGAAAAATCTTGCGTTCGTTAAAACAATTCCAGGCACCTACCTAAGTAGCCTTAAAAAGCAAATAAGCAGGCAGGTGAGGTGGCTCAAGCCTGTAATCTCAGCACTTTGGGAGACCTGGGTGGGCGGATCACCTGAGGTCAGGAGTTTGAGACCAGACTGGCCAACATGTTGAAACCCTGTCTCTACTAAAAATACAAAAATTAGCCTAGTGTGGTGACAGGTGCCTATAATCCCAGCAATTTGGGGGGCTGAGGTAGGAGAATGGCTTGAACCAGGGAGGCGGTGGTTGCAGTTAGCCGAGATCATGCCATTGCACTCCAGCCTGAGCAACAAGGATGAAACTACGTCTCGGGGGAAAAAATAAAGCAAACGAGCAACTTAATAACAACAACATAATAATAGCTTAAAACAATAGCCAAAAAGGTTAAAATAGATGTCTTCTTTTCTGTAAGAACCAAAGACAAAATCTGAACATATGTCTCTGAGTTGTTTCTCAAAAACCTGGACCCCCACACCAAACAGATCTGCTGGAACGTGGACTTCAGATAAGCGGAAGCTCAAGACTAAACTCTGACCATTGTACATTTCTCAGGGGCCTGGAGAAGGTCATGCCCATGAGCCAGAACTAACATTCTTTTTTGCAGATCCCAAATTTTTAGATAAAGCTTCACTTCCTTAACCAATCAGAAACCAAAGAATCTTTAAATCCACCTAAAACCTGCAGCCCCCCTGCTTCTAGATGTCTTGCCTTTTTAGGTCAGACCAATATGTAGGCCCCATGTATCAATTTATGACTTTGCCTATAACCTTTGCCTCCCCACCTTTATTTTAATTAATTAATTTTTTAAATTTTTCCATAGGTTATGGAGGTACAGGTGGTGTTTGGTTGCATAACTTCTTTAGTTGTGATTTGTGAGATTTTGGTGCACCCACCACTTGAGCAGTATACACTGCATCCCATTTGTAGTCTTTTATCCCTCACCCCCATCCCAACCTTCCCCCCAAGTCCTCAAAATCCATTGTATCACTCTTATACCTTTGCGTCCTCATAGCTTAGCTCTCACATATCAGTTGGTTTTCATCTGATGTTTGTTTCATCAGTTGTTTCATCAGAGGTTTTCATCTCACATGATGTTTGGTTTTCCATTCCTGAGTTACTTCACTTAGAATAATAGTCTCCAATCTCATCCAAGTCACTGTGAATGCCGTTAATTCATTCCTTTTTATGACCAAGCGGTGTTCCATCGTGTATATATATATATATATATTCCACAGTTTCTTTATCCACTTGTTGATTGATGGGTATTTGGGTTGGTTCCTTGATTTTGCAATTGCAAATTGTGCTGCTATAAGCATGCCTGTGCAAGTGTCTTTTTCGTACAATGACTTCTTTTCCTCTGGGTAGATATCCAGTAGTGGGACTGCTGGATCAGATGGTAGTTCTACTTTTAGTTCTTTAAGGAGTCTCCACACTGTTTTCCATAGTGATTGTGCCAGTTTACATTCTCACCAGCAGTGTAGAAGTGTAACCTCATCACCACATCCACACCAACATCTACTTTTTTTTGATTTTTTGATTATGGCCATTCTTGCAGGAGTAAGGTGGTTTTGATTTGCATTTCCCTGATCATTAGTGATATTGAGCATTTTTTCGTATGTTCATTGGCCATTTGTATATCTTCTTATGAGAATTGTCCGGTCATGTCCTTAGCCCACTTTTTGATGGGATTGTTTTTTTCTTACTGATTTGTTTGAGTTCGTTGTAAATTGTGGATATTAGTCCTTTGTCAGATGTATAGATTGTGAAGATTTTCTCCCACTCTGTGGGTTGTCTGTTTACTCTGCTGACTGATCCTTTTGCTGTGCAAAAGCTCTTTAGTTTAATTAAGTCCCAGCTATTTATCTTTGTTTTTATTGTATTCTCTTTTGGGTTCTTGGTCATGAAATCCTTGCCTAAGCCAATGTCTAGAAGGGTTTTTCTAATGTTATCTTCTAGAATTTTTAGTTTCAAGTCTTAGATTTAAGTCTTTAATCCATCTTGAGTTGATTTTTGTATAAGGTGAGAGATGAGGATGCAGTTTCATTCTCCTACATGTGACTAGCCAATTATCCCAGCACTATTTGTTGAAAAGGGTGTCCTTTCCCCACTTTGTGTTTTTGTTTGCTTTCTTGAAGATCAGTTGGCTGTAAGTGTTTGGGTTTATTTCTGAGTTCTCTATTCTGTTCCATTGGTCTGTGTGCCTATTGTTATACCAGTACCATGCTGTTTTGGTGACTATGGCCTTAAAGTATAGTTCGAAGTCCGGTAATATGATGCCTCAGGATTTGTTCTTTTTGCTTAGTCTTTCTTTGGCTATGCGGGCTCTTTTTCAGTTCAATATGAATTTTAGAATTGTTTTCTCTCTGTGAAGAATGATGGTGGTTTTTTGATGGGGATTGTGTTGAATTTGTAGATTGCTTTTGGCAGTATGGTCATTTTCACAATATTCATTCTACCCATCCATGAGCATGGGATGTGTTTCCATTTGTTTGTGTCATCTATGATGTCTTTCAGCAGTGTTTTGTAGCTTTCCTTGTAGAGGTATTTCACCTCCTTGGCTAGGTATATTCCTAAGTACTTCCTTTTTTTTTGTATTGTAAAAGGGGCGTTCTTGATTTGATTATCTGCTTGGTTGCTGTTGGTGTTTAGAAGAGCTACTGATTTGTGTACATTAATTTTGTATCTTGAAACTTTGCCGAATTCTTTTATCAGTTCTAGGAGCTTTCTAGAGGAGTCTTTAGGGTTTTTGAGGTAAATAATCATATCACCAGCAAACAGTGACAGTTTGACTTCCTCTTTACCAATTTGGATACCCTTTATTTCTTTCTCTTGTCTGACTGCTCTGGCTAGGACTTCCAGTACTGTGTTGAAGAGGAGTGGTGACAGCGGGCATCCTTGTCTTGTTTCATTTCTCAGAGGGAATGCTTTCAACTTTTCCCCATTCAGTATTATGTTAGCTGTGGGTTTGTCATAGATGGCTTTTATTACATTGAGGTATGTCTCTTGTATGCCGATTTTGCTAAGAGTTTTAATCATAAAGAAATGCTGGATTTTGTCGAATGCTTTTTCTGTATCTATTGAGATGATAATGTGATCTTTGTTTTTAATTCTGTTTATGTGGTGTATCACATTTATTGACTTGCATATGTTAAACCATCCCTGCATTCCTGGTATGAAACCCACCTGATCGTGGTGGATTGTCTTTTTGATATGTTGTTGGATTTGGTTAGCTA